AGTCTCTAGAGCAAGCAACACTAGACCACCCATAACATGTGAACAGTCACTCATAAAACCTGCAAAATACTGTACATGAAACAGAAAAATTGCATCAGAAAATGTTTTTCATTACAAAGGTTCAGAAATCATGTAAATCTTTTCCTCCCCCTGCTTATTCTGAATTAATCTGGAGAAAAAGCAACCGCAACCATTCCAGGTTTTAAGAAAATGCCCTATACTGACAAAACTGGACATTATTAGTCTTGAACAGAGAATACCATGAGGGGATTTGTTATGCAAAATCCATGATTGTAGTGAACATTGACAAAGTCAACCTAGCAGACTTCTTCAAAATGAACAGTGAAACATGATCTAGAATGGAACAGTGAAACTGTGTGGAAATGCATTTAAAACTGAGAACAAGGAAAGATGATTTACTTAAAGGGTTGTGGGATTAGGTAGTAAGATACAAAGCCATGTTGTTGAAGCCACTATCCTGGCTCCTTTAAAGAAACAACAAATAAAACCCTTGGAATAATTAGCTATTAACTACAAAGGGGCTGGATGAGTCAAATTCTTGCCATTTTTGACTGTTCTTATGTTCTTTAAAAAGATGAAGGACAACTGTCTCAATAGAGACATCCTGTTTTCTGTTTTGGTGTATGAGTTAACATTCTAATGTTTATTGACAGTGTCCTGCAAAGGTATACACATTTTTTTTTTCAAATGAGCTGTGTTTATTCCAAACCTTGCTACTTTAAGGGAGTTGAATCCTGGCAAAACCTGCAGTATTGCAGAGGTTAGTACTTACTGCTGATATTGGATCAAACTAAAAGCAAAAATCTTGAACCGTCAGTTATTTTTATTATATACTCACCAAATCTAGGAAGCACCAGTTGTGTCTTTACAGTTTGGCTCACAGCAATAACTCCAGTACCTCCATGTTGAGAATGAGGAAAGACGCACTTGTTCCGCTGATCTGCCCACTGATTGAGTCATTATGGAGACCCTTTTAGGCTGGTTTGGTAATAGTTTATAGGGCAAAATGTGTGTGTGTGTGTAATTGTCCACATTAGTTCAATTATTATGGCATTTCTTGGTCACCTTACTGCATGAAAAGTTTTCCATTTAAAGATGGGTATCAGAGATATTCAGTATTTTGTATTAATATTCCTATTTTTATTTTTGTTGAATTTTCACAGATTTTCACAGATTCAAAACTCACTCAAGGTGGACTTAAAGAACTCAGGGTTAAAATAATGCAGATTTTTTGTTTGGTAGCTTGTTATTATTGGTAGCTTATTTTGGAGTGTCTGTGTTACACATTGCTTCTGAAAGCAGGTGTTCTTCAGTTCATGGGAGCTAGACAGTATCACTTAGGATTAGAAACAACATAATGCTGAATTTTTTGTGTGTGATGAAATTGCAGAGTTTGGATTAGGAGTTTATGGGGCATGAAATTATATGTAAATTCTTAAATACTGATTGTGTTAGGTATTATGAGAATTTCTGAAGTTTTACTTGTTCTAGCTATTAAATGTCTTCTCTCTACAAAGAATCCATGTTTAAATACAATACATCCTGCATCATTAGAACAGGTTTCAGATTATTAATCATTCCGATTAATTTACCTCTGAGATAAGAACTTGATGTATGCAATCTTATGTTATTATCAAAATGTTTGAATTTTTAATAAATAGGTAAACTAGTAAATGTTAGAATTAAAATTATCATGCCTTTTCTTGCTGTTTAACAGTAGTTTGATGGTGTACCTACAGTAATTATATGGTAAAGCCCTTAAAGATAAAGTACAGCATTGGTACATTTAACAGGAATCTGTGGTTAACATTTACAGTACATAAGTAGTTTATTTTACCCTACATTTGTTAAGAGTCAATTACAGCCATTCAGGGCCTCCATATTCTGAGTAACAATAAATTGTTCTACTGTTAATGTTATTAAGTAGACATAATGACCAATTAATCTGATTTTTCTTGCCAACCAGATATTTCAAATTCACCATTTTTTCTTTTAAAATAGTTTTGCGAATTCCAGTGTTTATACAGTACTTTATTTATGTCTACAAATATTTACCAGAAATAAACCAGTTGAACTTGAACTAGAACTTGAACTTTATTGCCATATGTAACCGGTACAGGTACAATGGAATTCTTACTTACAGAAAGTCTCTCAATTGTAAAACAAGTGTAAAAAACAAAACAAAGTGCAAACAGTGCATCAAGACAATGTACAAACAAACAACAGACAATGTGCAAGTAAACATG